TAATGTAAGTACACAAGTCAGGAAAATATATAACACTGTTCTAGTGGTTTTTGGATATTTTAATAAAAAAATCTTACATATTGTGCCTTTAAATTTGTGTCATTGAAAACAGACACTGTTTGATGTGTATTTTTTCATTATTATTACAAATGACAGAATTGCCTTTATATACACTACCATTCAAATGTTCCTGAATTTATTTTTTATTTTTTATTTTTTTTTTTTTATCTTTCAAGATATCTATCTTCAAGATTCTATTTCAATATATGTTAAAAGGTCATTTATTCCTGTGATGGCAAAGCTAAATTTCCAGCAGTCATTACTCCACTCTTCAGTGTCACATGATCCTTCAGAAATCATTCTGATATGCTGATTTGCAGCTAAAAAAATAAATAATTATCAATGTTGAAAATAGTTGTGCTACTAAAAATATAACAATATAAAAATGTTACTGTCATTTTTGATAAATTTAATGCATCCTTGCTGAATAAAAGTATTGATCTCTTTCACATAAATAGTAATGTAATCCCTTTATAACATTAAATATTATGTATTGGAGAATATATATATTGAATCTTGTATTTGTTTCAAATCCTTACAGACATCAGTGTGAAAGGTAATAAAACAATGACGCATATAGTGTTCGGAGTTCCAGTGCAATGACCACAGAGTCATCCTATTTTCCCACGAACACACAAGGCAATCTGATTAGCTTTCATTCTGTCTCTCGCAGACAGATGCTTCTGATTTACTGATGTACTTTCACATGTGTGTGAGGATTTTAGCAGTGGTTAAACACTATATCCGTCAAGTGAAAGTCACTCACAATCTGTCGTTACATTATTTATCCCAAATACAGTATATATTTTGTGCAGATTTTCAGAGTACGCAAATACATTTAGCTCTTTCAATGCTATAATCGCATTTAGGAAATAACTAAATGTTATGAGTGCATGTCACACACTCCAAAACCTCATGAGGTCTCACACACATGTACAGATGCAGTGTTAGTGACCGTACGTGTGTATGTGTTTGTCCCCTGATGCTAGTGTGGAAAGAACAGACCCTCTGTCTGCTCTGGCGCGGGAGTATGGTGGATCTAAGAGGAACGCTCTACTGAAGTGGTGCCAGAAGAAAACAGAAGGCTATCCGGTAAGAAGCACAGGCCCTGACCTCCTTTCTCACCATGTCCCTCTCTCTCATCTTTCAGGCAAGTTTTATTGCCATGACTGTTTAAATACAACATTGCCAAAGGAATGCAGAGTGAAAAAAACTGACATGTTTAAAAGTGAAATGTGTAATTTCTGCACCATTAAGGCCACCAAACAGAACTACACAAATAACTGAAAATGGAAAGTGTGATGGCTGAAAGTTTAAATGCATTTTTAAGCTTTTGACATTTGATTGATACTTAAAGGTCTAACACACACAGTTTCACCCAATCTCATATTAATCTTGAGTACCTATAGAGTAGTACTGCATCCTTCATATCTCCAAAAAGTCTTTAGTTTTATCATATTTATAAAAGAAAGATACAGCTTTACAATTCTCTCCACAAACAGCCGAGCTCCTGGAGGCACGCCGTGGGCGGAGCTAAAGAGTGACATGCACAAAACACAGACATTTGATGCTGTTTCACTTACCGTCTGCAGTTCTGAATCATGACCAGGATCTTTTATAGCTGGGACCGCTCCATCTTTCAGTATCAAACGATGTGAAAATCCAGCACCGAACTGGGCCTAATTTATTAAAACGTTCGTAAACAAACACACTTGCGAAACTCCGTTGCTACCCCGGAAAACAAACTGGCAAATTTGACATTACGTCTTTATAAAGACGATGTGGATCTTGCTATAGACAACGTATCATCTATCAAGAGGGTAGGGGACCTGCACGCATTTTCGGTCAACGATTCGTGCCTAGAGTTCGGGCCGGCTGATTCCCAGGTAACCCTGAGGCCCCGGCCCGGCTACGTGCCCAAGGTTCCCGCTACTCCCTTCAGGGATCAGGTGGTGAACCTCCAAGCGCTGCCCTCGGAGGAGGCAGACCCAGCCCTAGCTTTGCTCTGTCCCGTCCGAGCCTTAAGGTGCTACGTAGACCGGACGCAAAGCTTCAGGACCTCAGACCAGCTCTTTGTCTGTCACGGAGGCCGGCAGAAGGGGAATGCCGTCTCAAAGCAGAGGATGGCCCACTGGATAGTGGATGCCATCACCCTGGCTTGTCAGGCACAGGGTGTGCCCTGCCCGCTCCGGTTGCGAGCTCACTCAACTAGAGGTGTTGCATCCTCCTGGGCGCTGGCTCGTGGCGCCTCGCTGACAGATATTTGTAGGGCTGCGGGCTGGGCGACCCCTAACACATTCGCTAGATTCTATAGCCTTCGTTTGGAGCCGGTATCCTCCTGTGTTCTCACCTCAAACGGGTAGAAGCACTGAGAGGCCCCGGCTTCGGGTCGGCTTGCAAAACCACTCCAGAGAGTCCATACAGTAGACCCTGTTGAGTTCCTCCATCCCCTCGGCAGCCAGACATGGTGGAGCGTCCGGCGCCAGGCCTTCACTCGCTGAATCCTTGAGAACCAGTAGAAGGTTGGGTTCCATATGTAAGACCCAAGTGGATCTCATATGTGTAAAGTCCACGGTATAGCCTTGAGCCCGTGTTTCCCCGGCAGACTTCTGCCATTCCAAGAGGGTTCAATCACCTCCATTCTTCCATAGGCACCTAAGGGATGTCCATATGTGTATTGCTTCCGAAACCTCCTTCGGGAAGGTTCGAGCTTCCGTAACGTCCCTGGTCCGAGTGGAACGGGTACGTTTTCCCAGTGTTATCCAGTCTTACTCCGTGGGTAGTGCCATAGTAGCAGTAGCTGGTCCTCTTGTGGAGTATTTCCAAAAAATAGGGGAGCAGGTGGCTTCCACAGGACACTGGAAGGGGCAGTAGCTGTGGCCCTTTGGTAGGATCCCAATTTCGTCGGTCCTCCGACGTGACGTCGAGAGTGACCGACTGAAAGGGAACGTCTCGGTTACGTATGTAACCCTCGTTCCCTGAAGGAGGGAACGGAGACGTCACGTCCCGTCGCCACAGCTCCTGTACCACCGCTGAGCGGCCGGGTCACCGGCTCGGCTCCTCAGCGAAAACCTGAATATGCGCTGCATCTGCTGCCTACTTATACTCACGCTGTGATCAGCAGCAGCTGGATGCAATAATCGCATGCCAATGTGCATTGGCTCGGTTAGTTTACACTCGAAGTAGATTGGTCCCTCTAAGCGAGATCCCAATTTCGTCGGTCATCCGATGTGACGTCTCCGTTCCCTGACGATGTGACGTCTCCGTTCCCTCCTTCAGGGAACGAGGGTTACCATACGTAACCGAGATGATTCTTCGGGAAGCTGAACAAGGTTATCTTTCTCTTACAACCAAAAACACACCTCTTTAGAGATATTCTTCTCGAGCGAGTCCTGTTCAGTGCAGCCGAATGAAGCGTGTTGATGGGCGCACTCTTACTCTCACTCTGGTCGATGTGTGCGCGGGCGCACTCTTCCGGGAAAAATGCCCATATAAGGAGTTCTAACCCTTCATTACGTCATGAAGAGCCACGATCGAAAAAAACTTTCCGAACCTTGTAAGAAACCCGGAAGTGTGTATTTGGCACAGAAATACTCTGTTATATATACAAATGGTTTTTGAAACTTTGGCCATGTTTAGCATGAGAATCCAACTCTTTAACTCTTTAAAACAGCATTGTACCCCCCC